TGATTATAACTTGCTTTTAGAGATATCAATGTCCAAATGAAAGATTTTTTTATATACTAAATGTAGTATAATGCGAGGTAATAAAAAGAGGATCTCAATTACCAGTAAACAAGCTTTTTCACAGGAGCATAAAATAGCTCAGCAGTTTAAAAGGAAACAATGAACAGCTTACAATACAGCTAAGCAAATTATTTTGTTATTATATTCAAAGATACCATTCCATGATCGAAATAAAGTGTATTCACTTTCAAGTTGTATTCAAATGTACTTTCCACATCATGTTACATTCATCTTATTTCAAATCAATTCATTATTCATGCATGGGTTGACAGTCCCTATCATTTGTCCTTGTGGATATTCATCTTTTCAGCCTTCCTTTCTCCCTAGATCCTGAATGCTCTCTCTCTCTCTCTCTCCGTCTTTTCCGTGTCTCTCTGTCTCTCCGTCTCTCTCTCCCTCCCTCTCTCTCTCTCTCTCTATCTCTATCTCTCTATTTTTCTCTTTCTCTCCCTCTCATTCTCTCTTTCTCCCATCTCTCTCTCATTCTCTCTTTCTCTCCCCTCTCTCTCTCTCTCTATCTTTCTCTCTTTCTCTCTCTCTCTCTCACTCTCTATCTCTTTTCTTCTCCTTCTCCATCTCCATCTTGTCTGAATTAATAGCATAAGGAAACTGAATTCAATTATATCTGCACACTGTACTCCCTATCGTTGCTAGATAATTCTATCTTAACTAAAATTGCTCACTTCAGCATGAACACTTGCTTGCATTGGGGGCCGAGTAGAAGACTATGTGTGATATTGTATCTGAGTCCTGACGTGACAGCACCTGCATGCTACCACTCTATCCTAGGCCACTGAAAAGTGACATAAATATTGGAGGAATATCAATAAAGTGGTGTAGAGCAGGTGAAATCAGATCCCCTGCACATCATCATCCTCCTCCGTGCGGTGACGGCCCAAACGCTTCAATCATACACAGTGCGGGTGGGACCCTGCTAGAACGGGTCTTGCATTTGATTTCTCCGGCTAATATGAAATCGGATTCCGCGTCCCGGCCCGTCCGTGCATTTCTCATGCCTCCCGTGGCGGACACTACACCCCGATTCAATCATGGATGCAAGCATCGCGTTGCCACATGGGACACACACCCTGAAAAGTGATCCTACCGGTTTCTTCTTCACTCGTTTCACCCCTTTCCTACCCCCACCCCGAATCCATACTATCAATCTCAGCCGAATTTTAATATTTCTTTTAGTTTAATGTTTCACTCCCCCTTTGTTTCAATTATTGAAGATGGCGTCATCCCTTATCTGATCGCTAATAGTGATGCATCTTGAGTTACCACCACGTTTTGGTAGCTGCCTCAGCGCCACATTGCACTCGGGGCCAGGCCCAAGAATCTAATCCATCTTCCACCTACCTCTCCCTACTCTCTGAGCTGCAATCTCATTTGCCCTAGAAACCAATTTCTAGTGGGCTAGGGTTACTCGATAGGTGCTAGCTCTAGAACAAAATTTGGTAATGACCATTAATAGAATAATTTTGGCTTGTTTTTGTAGCATACAGCGTAGGAGACGTGCAGAGCTACACGGTCTCGCACCACGCCCCTTGAGGTGAATTTTACTTCAACGATTCAATATGTGATATCTATGTGAAATCCTTCACATTATTGACTACAACTATCTTAAATATCCTCTCCATCTATTGGCTGACTAGATTTGCTAATAATCATGCCAAATAATGTAAGTACCAGAAAGTCAGAAACTTAAAATTATGGAAATTCACTTATCTCTGTCATCTATGTTTATTCAATCAATGATCAAAATATGCAGGACCTAGTACAATTTTGCTTCCGGAGCTTGCATGGAAAGGACCCCTGCAGCCATCCAAGTTTTTGTTTTGATTTGTCCACAATTGTTAAGTTTGAACACCCCTAACATGCACTAATATTTAACTATTTTAATGGCTGCTTTCAAAATTTCAAATTTAAAAAAATGAAAATACACCAGGGTAATGTCCCCCATAAATTCACAAACAAGTTTTTGAAGAGACAGATAAGATCATATCTCATTCACTATCAGTAATTAATTCTTTACTCGAAACCATCTGTTTAGTATTATGAGAGTGTGCAACATTCTTGCTTTCAGATTTTTTTTTAAATGCCATGGACTACACTTTCATATATTTATCATACATGTACGGGTACCCATGTGATAAATTTAACATTTACATATTCACTGCTAATGCAGCATTACATATCTCCAGAATAAAACATACATTGCAAAGATGGATATATAATGCTAATAATAGGTTATTCTCATGAGAATCACCCTAACACATTGTTTATTTTTGTTCATCTGCTTGCTTGTTTAGGTTTGTTTTCTGTCTATTATGTTTTTTATAGCAAGATTCCCTGATGTATACGAGTGATGAAGTAAAACACACTAATCAATGTCTCTTTCAATTGATTAGATTCTACATACAGAACCAAATGAGTGAGTGAAAACAATCAGGAAAATAGGAAGTCTGAAATGAATGAGAAAAAAATACCTAACCAGAATTCTCATGAGCCAACTACTAATTCTTCATTTATCAATTTCAGCTAACCACTTGAACGTCAGCCGAAAAAAAGGGTAACACATATGCGGTCATTCAACTCCCCTACATTCGAGTTAATAAAACTTTGCCTGAGATGGAGGCAAGAACAGTAAATCATACAAACTAAAGAATTTCTAAAATTGTAACTTTGATATCACAAGTTATGAGCTGAAGTAATAAATTCTGACAATTCGAAAATCATGAAGTGACACACGTCACAATGTAGTGTAAGTTATGATGTTCTTTAATTACAATACCACCAAACTGTTATGGATTTCCAAGCTCTATAGCCACAATCGTTAAGTCATAGGTATAAGGGGAAAGCAAAATCAATATCCAGTTTTTAGTTCTTTACTTCTACTCAAAATATAAATTCATATATATCTAGAAAATTGATCAATAAAACGATTCTTTTAGAGAGTTTTTCCATTTTACTGAAAAATTTCAAACAGCTTTACAAATTAAACTCAAGTAAGAAAAGAAAATTCCATGAACCAGTATTGAAAAAAATTCATTCTAAAGACATGGCTATATCTCTACAAAACTGATAAAAACTTCATTTTGATAAAAGATGTCAACACTATGATTATTCTGATACTGATGTTACTGAGCCTGAAATACTTCATATCTTACATTTTCACTTTATTTTCTTGCCCAATCGAGTGAATGAGTAATTGATTATTGTTGATGTTAGCTGTTTTATTGGTATATTCATTCTACCATTTTTTCATTTCCTTAATACATAGATGGTAGCTACATGTACAATGTACAGTCAATTATTAATACCCCTTGTAAAATGTAAATTTGATGTTTTTTTATGTTTTTGTAACTCAAGAATGTAAGGTGGACTGGTTGAATTCAGGCCTTTGTTGGATATAATTTGGTGCAAGCTTTAATGTGTGTCACTTTATCAAGGAACATAAATTAGGACAAATCCTTTTTCAAATACCCCAGTACTTTAAAGATTAAAAAATTTGGTAAGGGTATGAATAATTTAGTTGTTAACTGTACATGTATACACAGGTCTTGCCAAAGATTTCTTGGTGGGTTAAACTGTAGGGTTGATAGGGCAAGAGTATAGAGAAATACAACAAATAAAGTTTTTTTAAGGGCTTGAGAGGTTTAGTTTCAAGACTCAAGGGAGAATGAAATGTATGTAACAGAAGCCTCCCTTTAAATTTATGGGAAGTTCAAAGGCCACTGGCTGAGAAAACAGAAACCCAACTATCCCTTTGTTGTGTAGATAACTAATCAATTCTCTAGATGAGAAAACCTTTCTAATAAGAACAGAGATCTAACAGTACATACTACAACAAAGCAGCAAATCGGGGCAAACACCTCCACACTACACTGCACACACAAACCCCCCATAAATCCCTTCGCGTGCCGAAACAAAAGCCACAGCATCTTGATAATAGCAACAGCTAAGAGAGCCCTTTCTGGAAACGCATTGTGCACTTCTTCCTAGCGACTTGACGCTTTTATGACAGATGACAAAGAACATGTGGACAAAAAAGGCGGTTTATACCTCACTACTGTAATTTCTTTTTGTATGGATACTAGGCTATAGAGTGCATTTGCAGTGCAATATTTGAACCAAGGTTACCCCCGTTTAAGAATGGCTTTCCATGCTGTGTGGAGAAGATAGGGGGACAATTTGTTGTTTTGTACTGGTAGTTGTAGGGCCAGGGGTATGAATCAGTCACATGTTTCTGGCTGTGTTAAAGCAGATATTCAGGCTTTACGACATTTATGCAGAGGGTTGTTAATGTACTTATGAATAAGAGTATGAGACCACATCATGAAAATGTGTTCTCCAATTGTCATTGTGACCTATTGTGGGCTAGGTCTGACCTGGCAAAGTACATTGTGTAGAGTTCTATTGCCATTCAAACATTGAAGCTACTCCAAGTCTTTGTGTTAATAATGCTTTCAGAGCAAATATACAAGCTTGTAAGCTTGCAAGATTGTGGGGGCTGGGGTACCTATAACCTATCTGTATGTCTTAGGTTTAATCATTCCAGGAATTGGATAATTGGATGATTAATACATTAAGCAAATGGCAATATGATCACTATCTGAACATTTACTTCTTGAGCATACTCCACTCTCTTCACTGCCTCTATATTCCTCTCTCGCTCTCTCTCTCTCTCTCTCTCTCTCTCTCTATCTCTCTCTCTCACCCTCTCTCTCTCTCTCCATCAATCAATACACCCATTCTCATATTCCTAAACAAGGTCTTTAACCAAGATTTAACGTCATTCAAGTAATTGGTCCAAATGTATATATCTATCAACTAATAAATTAATCAACAAGTCATAGAGCTCATTGATTTAGGCTTACTGGTATATACCAATGATTGACAATGGTTTACTTGACGTCTTGACGACTTAAAACATATCATTAAAATGGGAAATGCCATAGAATTGTCACTTCCAATCCATAACATTTTGTTAAAAATATTTCAAACATGTAAATAGTCATAGTGTACATACCCCTGGAAGGGTCTTCTGTTCGTGTAGAGCTTTCTGCGCACGGATCGCACTTTCCCTGTCGCAATATGTCAGGAAGGCACAGCCTGTCGAATGAATAAAAAAATTAGTGATTACAAAACAAAATCTAAATATAGATTTGATAAGAGTAACCTTAAAAAGATATTTTAAATTGAATTTAGGAAAAATAGAGCAACAAGGCAAATACAGTACAGTGTTAACATTCACCCTTTGACCTATAAACATACCCCAATGCCTAGTAAGTAGTATATGATGCATGTAGAATGTCAAATTCCATTCATATTTCATCATGTTCAAGATTGCAATTGATCATGTGATGATGGAATTGCAGGAGAGAATGCCATAGTTTGTTTGTATATTTAGTTCCTTCCTAAACAGTATACTGACTCATAGGACATGGCAAATGATATGAACATTGAAAGACTAATTTGCTCATGTTTAGTAATGAATATGATTTCCTTCACACCTTTATGCACGCCTGTGAATCGGTCCCTCAGAACTGTCAACTCGTAGATGCGCCCAAAATCCTCGAAGATCGGTCGCAGATCTTTCTCCTCCAAGTTCCGCGGAATTTGGCCCACAAATAATTTGATAGCATCATGGTCCTTCATGGGGATGGTCTGGGGTGCACATGAAACTCCGTTAGACTTGTTGACAACTTGGGAAACCTGGTTGCCGGTGGGTTGTTGTGTGTCTGGTCCACTTACTAGCTGTGTGGCTGCCATGTTCGTCATATTGGATGCAAGAGATGCGAAGGAGGAGGAGAAAATATGTCGGGTGCGGGCGCGTGTGTGGTGTGTTTGTTTCGTGTGTCGAGTGCAATGGTCCTCTTCTCCAAGATGCGTTTGCGCGGATGACTAGACTACTCTACACAAGTACACACAAGGCGAAAAAATATCTACAAATTCAATCTTCACTCCAGCGGTACAGTGATGCTACAACAAAAAAATGGAAGTGCTCTAATTTGAAATGTCTTGCTGGCTGGGGCTTTACAGTTTTACGTAGATCAACCAATAAATCACACTGCCACCGGTATATAAAGCGCTTACAGAAGAACACACGCACTCACACTACCCCGGCTCACGACACAAACTAACCGAATGGAGATTGAGGTAGAAGTTCGGTTTTTTTGTGATGGAGAAACCCTACGGTGAATAGCTTTGGCTTTTATGCAAATGAGTGTGCATAATTCATCACAACAAAGTACGAAATTTTCATCCCCAAAAGCGAAGACCGTCTCTGTGCCTTGTCTTCGCTCGCTCGGATGGAGCTGCGTGTATACGAGATGGATGGGACACGTCGATTGGCATGTAGGGGTGCAGTGAATCAGTCTTCTTTTGTTCCATTTCTTGTTATTCATCCCGTCTCTTTATTCTCTTCCCGTCTCTCCCTTCTATTTCCCTATTTTCCTTCCAGTCTCTTTTTTTCTTTTTCAACAATTCCATACCTAGACATACCATTCTCTCTTCTTTGATCACTTACTTTTTTCACATCCCTCTCTCCTCGTCACGTATATTATTTTATCTTTCTCTCTCTCTCTCTCTACCTCACACTGGGTAAATTGTAAGAGCCTTCCTAGAGCATTATGAATATATATTTTTACATTATTTTTTACAATCCTTCCTGTTTCAGAATGTCACCTGCTGCGATCGAAACTACATCAGCAGAGAAAGAAATGGGGAAGAGAGAAAGATAGACAGATGGGGGGGGAGAGATTAGCAGAAAACAAGGAGAAAGGGAGAGCTGGAAAGATAGATAGATATGTGAGATAGAGAGAAGAGAGGAAGATAAGCAGAGAAAGGGAGAGAGAACGAAAATGTTAGCAGAATGATAGAGAGGTGGAGAGATTGATAGATTATGAGAGAGATACTAAAGCAAAAACACGTTATACTATTTAAACGTACACCAATGTTGATATAGATTGATATGCCTGTTGCACATCAGAAGATCGAATAATCTATTTAAATTACAAACAATTTTTTTTTTACCGAATATTTCGGCAAAAACAAAAGAAAACAAATGATCACAACGTGCTTTACAGCACCCCTGTCAGCAGTATAGAATGTTCCAAGTAGATGCATCATTACCATCATCTGCTCCTGATGATATTATTTTAGGTTACGTGCCGTACCGAGAACAGGTATACGTGAATGAATATATACATATCATTAAAGTGTTTTTTATCTGTCGTGGAGCTATACCTGTCTTTCAACATCGGACGGCGAACGTCAAGAATGACAATTAAATTATTTCAAAATTTGTTGCTTTTATCAAAGACGGCCTCTCTCTCTCTCTCTCTCTCTCCCTCTCTCTCTGAGTTAAGTCTAAATCATTTCTCAATGATGCATTTCACAATAGTAAATATATATAGAACACACAAATTAATTTTTAGAAGGGTGTGGACAAAGAAGAATGTAATTATTATATATATATATATCACATTCTTCTCGCTCCCACCCCCCTCTCTCTCTCTCTCTCTCTCTCTCTCTCTCTCTTCCACTCCCTCCCTATCCTACCTCTCTTTCTATATATTCTTTTTTTAACCATCCTTTATTTACATCTGTTGTGTTTTAACCTCTACATCCTGAAATTCCATGTCTGATCCGGTAAACAAGAGAATTTGTCAAACTCGATGTAATCTGCGTTTTCAACGACTTTCTGACTGTTACCGTCAACAATAGCAGCCTCCGATGAGTTTTGGGACGACAAAACAATAAACCTCAGCCGGCCCAGTTTGTGGACCAGTTGTGAATTCCTTTGTCACGACCAACAAGCTAGACCAGACAACGCACAGTGATGTCCGCAGGATCTACGGTGTGGTCCAGTTACCGCGTATAACACTTCGCACCTGCTCGGAGCACACAATGTACCCCAATGATCGATAGTGGACAAAGGCGTGTGGTAATTACTTACAAAAATGTCGATAAGGATTATGAGACCCATCTCGTGGCTGCCACGCGACTCTAATTAGGTTGGCTTCTTTATCTGTCATCCTTATCTCTCTCTCTCTCTCTCTCTCTCTCTCTCTCTCCTCTCTCTCACTCTCTCTTCCCCTCATTCTCTTACGATTTCTCCCATCCCCCTCTCTCTCTCTCTCTCTCTCTCTTTCTTTCTCTCTCTGTCTGTCTCTCTGTCTGTCTCTCTCCCTCTCTCTCTCTCTCTCTCTCTCTTCCTCTTTCCCTCTCTCCCGTTCTCTCTTTTTTCTGTTCCTTTAAATATCCTACCTCTGACCTCTCTCTTCCTATCTCTTGTGTGTGGGTGAAGGTTTGTGTTTCTGCATCTTATGCAATCCATCTCGATGTCTGCGCTGCCTTTAGTGCCATGTCCTCTTTACATAACGATATTTTTTTCCCCCAGTGAATTAATTTGTTTGACAAATTGACATTCTTATAATCCAAGTAGGTCATTAGTAGTGAACACTGAATTCAATTAATGCACCGTTTCAGTTAATATAGTCTCCACACATGCTGTCATGTTGCTTTTTAGTATATTTCAAACAGACTTAGCTTTAGAAAATATATAATTAATCATTCATTTCATCGTAAATATATCTTTTACGATGCACAGTAATACTGTATAGTCAAAATAATGATTGATAATCGTGATATTGATAATGCTTCTAATAACAATGATGATGATGATAACAATTATAATAATATGATAGTAAGCATTCTAACTTACCTGATAATCATAACAATCATAACAGCAACATAATGGTTATCATTATAGTATATACAATACTGCCCCAATATGATATAAGAAATTTGATACATTGTTTGCTCCTCTACAACATACAGCAGGGCGAAGTGTAATATTATTATTTACCATGTGTTGTTTAACATAGTCTGCCAGTGCCACCCAAGTATTAATTGAGCATACTGATCAGAGAAAACCGTGACGTACACCTAGAAATATATGTCACTGATCTACAATTCTATAGTCCAAAAAATCGACAATATTACATCTATCTTGCGATATACCGTCGCTTATATTGTTAAACAACATTTTCTTGTAAACTATATTTATCCCAGTAAAGCTGCTAAGTTCATTGTATAATTATATTGACGGAATACTGTTATGATATTGTGAACAGATATACCGAAAGCCGAAGCAATGTGACACAAAGTCAAGTATGGAATATAACAGTCATGTAAACGTGTTTTATGTTATACCCCCGAGTGATAAGCGATAGCGCATAAATTTCGTGATTCATTGAAAAAAAAATAACCATAAATTCGATACATATTGTCATTGTGTACACTCACTTAAATATGCATTCGACATTCATTTTTTTTTAAGAAGCCTGAGTGCAGGTAATGCACAAATTTACAGTATGTTGCAAGAGGGTTTTTTTTTTGTATAGTAAAGTGCAGTAGAATATATTTACATAGTGCCTGAACTATGTTCTAAAGTATCTTACAATTATTATTATATATTATGTAACCATTATTATTATCATTTGAGAAGGAGAAAAAACCTCGTACTTTTATTTCAACAAACTAGTGGTGGAAAGTTAAATATCTCCCCTTGATTAAAGAGAATGGAGACGGGAGAGAGAGAGAGAGAGAGAGAGAGAGAGAGAGAGAGAGAGTTGTAATATAACAGGCATATATTTTACGTTAATGTATAGCATCATATTTTATAAGTCTTGAAAGCTATATTCATTATGAAAAGGCAATTGGCATTGTTAAAGAATATGAAATTGGTCTTTTTTCTACACAGTATACACACACGGCAGATGAAATTAGTGCACAAACTTTCTTTCAACTTATATTGATTGCTAATATACTCATACGTGTAGAATCGTGACTTCGTAACTTTGCCCAAGGTTCATTATTAGGTCATTTTGAGAACCGCATACATTTCGCGTATAATTATTATAGTTATGATAATATTTAATTAAATTCATGGCATTTTTAAATGATTCAGAACTACAATGCATATAAGCCGGTACACATACAATCTGCAAAATGGTCTGCTTCGTGTACTCGTAAGCATGATGGCTTGTTGCATCAATTCCTTTTCTCCCCTCTTTTTCATTATACCCCTCTCTGAGTCCTTCTTCTCTTATTTTAATGTGTGTTAACATGGATTGTCTGATACTATGGTACTGTATCGCATGTCACCAAATAGTCGAACTCAACACAAGCATTTGCTTTTTTGATCCTCGCCTCTTTCCTCACTCAAGAATATAAATACATTAAATGCAAATTGAATTAAAGTTCTTCTGCATTGAACTGGAATGAATAGCACTGAATACAATATCTATTGTATTTCTCCCTCCTTTTGAATTGTGTATTGCACTTACCGAATTGCCATGCCACTATGCATTTGCATTTTATGCGTCCGTTGTTGAGAGTTTATACATTTTATCAACTATACTCTAAAACATTAACATTCTGCGATAATCATGCTTGTGCATGCTTTTAAAATGTATACCATGCATTTGTATTTTTATGATTTCTTATCAGAATTTGCAAAATGATAATTGATTATTTCTTTTAAATATCAAATATTTCGCCCTTTTTGTTTTCAAAAGAATTAGATGAATAAGCTTTAAGCTTTTATTTATTTCTTCTCTCTCTCTCTCTCTCTCTCTCTCTCTCTCTCTCTCTCTCTCTTTATCTATCTATCTTACTTTGTTTGTTTTGTTTTCATACTTTCATAGTGTAAGGGCTGTAACGGAATTTGATATTCCTCCTCAAACGATATATGAAATCTATCCCATCTCGCTTTTGTAGCGATGCTCGAAGCTAAGATAAAATATAATTACAACCCGAATTTACGATCCGGATAAACATCATGTAGATCATTTCGGGCTGGTCGCGTGCCGTTTCTTTGTTTCCCCTGTTTACAGTATATCCGGTAGAAGTAGAAAAAAGATCCCAATCGATGATGCTTTGTTTATAGGCAAACCGACAAACAAAGGAAAAGTTCATACAATGGATGTCTTGACATGACAGGACGACCCTTAAAAATGTCAATAATACCCCAGTCATACCGACCGGTAACCTGGCCATTTGGGATATATTTTAATTCATCGTTCGGTCTGTTGTCTGGTTGGGGCCAATTTCATCTTTGTGATAGCCCTTTGAAGATTTCTGGAACTTTGTGGACATCCCTTTGAAACGGGAGGTAAGACTTATCACGCGTTTCGATGGGATATCTGCGAACTTGTATTTAAGACGTATTTGCGAAACTCTTCCTAATGGATTGTGCTGGTGTATGTCGTCAGTGTGGCTGAGGTACAAAGGAAAGCATTCCAGAGATTGAAGGACTGAATTAAGATGTGCGTCCATGGGGTGAAGTGGAAAAAAAAACTGAAAGAAAAGATGGGACCAAAACAAAAAATAAATTATTAACCAACTGGAAATAGACATTAAAAAGTTTTTGAAAAAGAATATTTGTTATTATTTATTCTTGATTTTTTCTGCTTCATTTACTGAGAGATGTAATCGTAAATTTGTGACCGTAATGATACAAAGAAGATAACTTTAAAGGAATTTGACGTTGATCCTGTATATTAAAGTCTGAAGTTAAACGTAACAAAATAACAAAAACTTCTCAGATATATTGTATCCCCTCCCCCCAACCAAGGCAAAATTGATGGCCTTTTCGTGAATATCCAGTTCGGTAACATTTGTTTTAAAATAGAGAAAGAAAAGGAGAATGATGGGAGAATATAATACACAAATCTTATTCATAGGATTTGGAAACCCACCGTGTATTTTTCATCAAACTTTATTTAATGCTTTATAGATGACGAGAGTCAGACTCAACTAGCACATGCACTATTTTTTACTCTTTTTTTTTTTACCATCGATCACAATTCACAAACTCATTGTGAATAGTCATTTATTGTTTTACTCTTGACGCTAAATTTACTTAAAACTATTTTTTTACATAGTGTATAATGTACATGTATATCGCTGAAGAACATGTATTTGTATCATTCATGTCATGTATTTATATTATATTGACATTGTCATTGTACATTTATATATATCTTTTGTTTCAATGTTTTCAATGGTGGTGAATAAATTAATTTAATTCAATTCAAACAGCACACGAATAAAGGTCTGGAAGGAGAATGAGAGAATATAGGAAAACAACAGAAATAAATAGAAGTAAGATCAAATCAAAAGAGCCATCATGTGATATTAAAAAAAAGATAAAGAGGTAGAACAGTTATTGAGAGAACAGAAGAAGTTTTAAAAAAAAGAAACAACAGAAGAACAAATAAGTATCAGGATTGAAAGGACAAATGAAAAGTAAAAATAGCAAAAAGACAAAGAGAGAGTAGAGGGGAAGAACAAGACAGAGAAAGAGAGAGGATGGGGACAATGATAAAGAGATATAAAGAAAAAAAGGGAATGGAAATTGTGAAATCAGAGGAAGAGAAGGAGAAGAAAAAGAAATGAAATAGAAGGAAAAGAAGGAGTATGAGAAGGAGGAGTATAAGAAGGAGAATATGAGAAAAAGCTATTAAAAAAAAGAAGAAGAAAAAGAAGAAATAGAAGAAGAAGAGGAGGAGGAGGAGGAGGAGGAGGAGGAGGAGGAGGAAGAAGAAAAAAAAGACCAAGGACAAGAAGAAGGAGGGGGGGGGGGGGAAAGAAGACAAAGGAAGGAAAGGAGAGAAAACGAACCGGTAAGGCAAAACAAGCAGATGTTTTATTGTCCATCATTACATAACCGTTCCCTTGTGCGAGATGACGTGAGCTCTTGAGGTGAACTAAAATGTCAAAGTCATTAAGATATTCAGGCTCATATGATTCCTGAGATAATGATCAAGATAGCATGATGGAGGGATGTTGTCTACAGCCCACTATATAGCTGCCTGAATAATTCTACATTACTTCATTTAAAATTAATGCAGACAGTTTTGATTAAACGAAGAGCGAAATGAATTTTCTTCTTTGACACTGAATGCTTTACTTAGTTAGTATCGACTTCATTTTATTTTCTCCTTCACACACACACACACATATATATATATATATATATATATATTTCTTGATTTACCTATATTTTCGTTTCATAACTTGTTTACTTATTCGGTTATTTCCCCCACATGTCTATACGTTTCCAAAAATAAACTAATGCTATGGTCACATTACCCAAAAGTTGCCTGCTCGGCGGCCGAGCGGCGAGTTTTTAACCAATTCTGCCCGGCGGCTGCTCGGCCACCGAGCGGCGGCCGCCCAGGCATCGCTCGTTTTTAGGGCATCGCTCGGTCGCCGCTGAAGTTTTAGCGCGGAGTTAAAATTTGGGCGGCGCCTGCTCACTTTTCACTCGCCGCCCAAAATACGCTCGGTGCCTGGGCGGTCGCCGGCCGGCACCGACCTAATTGCTGGGCGATGCCTAAATTCCAGCAGCGACCGAGCAGGCTACTGATCGGTCGGTCGCTGCTCAGATTTGTGACCATAGCATTAGGCTGACCAGGTAACTCATTGGATGTGTATAGGCTTTCTTCATTGTCTTTTTTTCAAGCATTAAAATTCTCGCATATCATTATTTTCTTCTATCATTCACTTTGCAGATTCGCCCATCTGTGTATCGAATGTGGATTTAAATAACATACGAAGAAGTATTATTTTCATTGATGCTATGTCAGATATATTTGAGAAGTTTGTTACGTCAATATTCAAATGTCCTTGATGCCAGCTATTGATGAAAAAATTGAACTGCCAAGCTTCCCTATTAATTACCATGTTAGGAAATGCCACACATACTGGATTAAATAGAAATTTGTATAATATGTCAGTTTGCTATGCTGTGGACATAACACTTCATGTTGGAATCAATGATGATAAAATAAAAACTCACTATAATAAGAAGTTGCTAAAAGACAGTTTCTAAGAACAATCTTGAAAACATCGGACTATAAAAATAATCATCATCATGTATCCCGAAAGCGTAAAATAAATAAATCTGCATTTTGGGGGATAAAGCCATTGACATCAAAAAGAGTTACCAGGTAGAAACACAAATAAGGGGATTGTACATAATACGTCTTTCCGACGTCTTTCCGATATGAGTTACTTATGTTTAAAGCAATTTATTTTAGTCATCCGCTGAAGACGGTAGACAATGAAGCTGCTTATGATAGTAATTTACTGATACCTTTCAAGATATTCGCTTATAAGCACATTATGCACAGGCCAACGAAAAAAAATGTACTTTCACTTGACAATGCTGCCCTGGGGCTGCCCCTCCTCCTGCACCCCCCTCCTCCTGCACCCCCCCCCCCCTCCCCAACTTATCCATTGCCCCAAGGTAGCTTCTGAACAAAACTATTGAGATACGTTGACCATTGTTTACCTAAAAAAGAATACATATTCCTTCAATTATCATTGTCAAGTATCAAACGTTTGCTGGTCTAGTAATTTATGATGGAAGACGTGTTTTAAATGTGAAATGCTACTGGCTTGACTTTAAAAAATATATAAAACAAATTATAGTTGAATGTTCTACGACCTCGAGGTTGTCCAACACAAGAGGGCAGCACAGTAGAGTGAATGTTGCCGAATCCCGAATCTCACTTTGTTATCATGGAGTCCAGCACAAAATTCTCTTTTAAGAAACGAGGGCGACTTGCAAACTCAAGAAAAAGGAAAACAAGCACCAGTGATGAAGGTACTCTGCAATTAAGCCGTTCTATTTATATGGCCTTGAGTATTATTTGCTTTGTGAAACAGGTTTTCAAAGTCGTTCTGTTTAATATACTGTCCCACATATTGAAATAAATGTCCTTACTTACGTCTCACTCAAGACAAGAACTCTGAAAATAAAGAAGCGGGGAGGCCGGGAAGCGTCATTTTTTTCTGCGGCACAGATCGGGGCCTTTTTTTAAAAAGAGGTCTTGATTTAACCCTAACCCTAACCCTAACCCTAAACTTTCCCATAGGCTCAACACGCACCTAACCCCAATCTGTGCCGCAGAAAAAAAATAACGCGGCCAGGAAGCTAATGTCAGTGTTAGCGTTTAAAGCTAGCCGTAAGGGCTTGATGATTATATGAAATATGACGAAAGGCCGCTCCATATTTATTATGTAAATTTTTTGGTTGCCAAAATGACTTGGAGTCCGACTGATCTCCTAAACTTTTTGTACAAGAATTTGGTTGTAAAAAACTTGATCCATACCTTACTGTGTCGTGCGTACGTAAAGACCTGTAAAGTTTTGCGGATGTGAAAAGGACCTTATGGATCAAGGTTTTGTTTGAGTTTATTAGCTGAAACCAAGCGATTTGCAAACGTTATTAAAACAGGATGCGATTAGGAGTGTTTTGGGGTTTTTATACATGATTTTTTAGCTTGGAATCATCAGGACATTTTAGAACTGATTTATTACTGTCATGAACAAAATGTTACCCTTCTACATGTATTTATGTAGACTATATCAATCTTTTATATATTTTTTTTGCTTGAAATACTCTAGGCTATGTATTGTAGATTCTAGAAGTTTTTATGAAGAATGAAATAAATACCATATCCATACCATACCATTTTGGAGCATCGTGTTTAAAATTAAGTATTTCAACAATAATTTTAGTTTTTTCTCCTATTTGTTTAGTACATTTTCACTATTTTAGGATGTGTGTGAATCATTTGTACTCTTTAGCACTAAATCAAGTATCAAGCATGCGTTGTAGCAGTGTACAGTGCATGAGGTGTTACTGTAAACAGTATGGACATACCCGATTACCCATCAGTAAAGTAATTTTGAATCTATATATTTTATTCTCTTTTAGGTAGCGGTGAAGAAGAGAGTGCTGTTGTGAGGAAAGAAAGGAAAAAGACCATTTCAAACCCTATGAAACAAAAGGTAATGTAAATGTTATCTATTAATGGCTATTTATTGCTATCTGCAATGAAAAAGTTACCCATAGTTATGGAGAAATCAACCTGAAACAGTAATTGGCTTACTCTTATAGCCTGGGCTTTTTATTCCTCAAAGTAAAGGGTTAAAGCTGTGATTGGGTTTTAAGTTAGGGCTAGGGTTAGGCAGGGCTCAACCCTAACAGGCACCGGGGATACATGAGCGCTCCAAATTCAGACCCCCAAAACTTCAAAATGGTAACAGGGCTTTGCATACAGATCCCAAATTTTGTAATCTACCGTAATTAACGTTGTATAAACCGCCCTCGTGTATTAACCGCACCCCTCTTTTTCGCCCATTTTGCCAACTTTTTTTTCACCAACTTTTTTTTTGCCGACTTAAAAAACAGTAGAGGACCTAGGATAGAACCTTGTGGTACGCCGTGTAATAGAAGAAAAATTGGAGGAATTATTATTATCAACTACATATTGAAATCTATCAGAAAGATTACTTTCAAACCAAAATGACAGACAAATTTGAGTGTTGTTCTAGTTTCCGATTACTGAGCTGGGAGACATTGCCAGGCATAGCGCCAGGTGGAGGGGCATAAATCGAATTTTTTTTTTTTTTTTTTTTGGTGTACCATGTATAAACTGCACCCGACTTTGAATTTTTTTCGGCGGCAAAAAGGTGCGGTTAATACACCGTTAATTACGGTAAACCCCCCTTCCAAGAATAGTTAGTTTGGAGCCTTTGGTTACGTATAGTATTGGGACCAGGAGTGATGTTTAGAATTCAAGTAGTGTAGGAAATTGACACCTGAGAAGAGGGTGATGCATTTAGTTACTAAATAATGATTTATACTTCCATATTCACACCGTTTAAGGTAACAACTATCAAATAGTAATGTCTAATATTGTACCATTCCAACATTTTAATTTGAATAGATCTTTATAATTGATAGATGATTATTAAAAGTATTTGTAAAAGAATAAACCCGTAATATATGTACATAACAATAATGACATGACATACATATAAATAGCCATGCATAATTTAAGGAGGTTGTTACTTATGCAAAGGATCAGTAAATGCAACATATTTTTGTTTTTTTCTCTTTTATTTTAGACCAAGAATCTGAGTGAGAAGCAAGATGTGACATACAGTGAAAGCAGTGAGGAAGAATCTAAAGATACAATGGTCAGCTATAAATCCAGTAGATCGGCTGTAAGTATTCAACTTTTCGTAAGGTGGTATTCGGATGTCATTTTTATTTTTATACAAATCATTATCCATCTTTACCAAAGCTCAATCTTTTCTGTAACTTTGTAGACAAATTTGTAATATAGATTGATAATATAAAATAGACAAGTCACACAGAGATAAATGAGACCAAACCAACAACTAACCAAACAGTATATTATTGCAAAAAGCCCAAATTTTGTTGGTTTGGTTTTGTCGTGAGACAGGTTTAAAAATATGAAAATTTACCTTAACTTTATAGCCAAATTTGTCAAAAGATTTATAATATCTAATACCGTCCAGTTTGACACCAGAATGAAACCAAACATGAATCCTAATGTCCAGAATTTTTTTGATTTGGAATCGGTTTGACAATTTGACTGAGGTATAAAATAATACAATTATTACCAGGATAGTAGATAGATTTGATGTATTCCAAACTTTTATTTGTTGTCTTTAATTAGAAACCAGCTGGACCGGATGATGGTGGTGCTACAGCGACCTTTAACCTGGATACAGATTTCAATGAAGATGCACAGGCATTGTTTGAGAAGCAGAAGAAGATTAATGAGGTGAGGGAAGAAAAACAACATTACTATTATTCAAGTGGTCTAAACTGGTTATAAAACTATTTTGTTGTGAATAATAGCCCAGATGTTCATATCAAAGACACTAGACTTGCCAGAGAATTTTGACCAGCTCATAAAAAGTTTGTTTAGTCTTGAGTATTGAGCAGCATGCTAACAACAACTTAGAAAGTACATCTACTCTGATGTCTTTTTAAATGTATTGCTTTAAAAAAAAAAACTGAAATGTCTCCTTTTTTTCCAGTTTGATAACTAATAAAAACATTAAATATTGTAGACAATGACCAAATACTGTAATTAACCAAGGCATGGAACAGTACATGTTCACTGTTGCTTTCTTAAAGAATGCTCATTACCAAATTTAACTCCTCACCAGTTACTTCGGTATGACAAGTAATAATTGGAGTAAAATCAAATTTTGGTTTTATTTTTGTAGGAGCTGAAGGGAGAGGAAGATGACAAGAAGTATAGAGGACTTAATAACTATCATACATACATTGAGAAGAAAGACACAGCACAAGGGAATGCATCTAGTGGTCATGTGAGGTAAGAATAGAAACACTTTCTCTACATCTTCCTTAATACCACCTCATCAGTTTCTCCACCCAGGTGTTAAATGGGTACCGGTAGGAGGAATTTCTTGAATGCTGTGAGCACCGTAATTGGTAGCGTAGCAGAGCCGGGGTAATATTGGAGCACTTTGAGCACCTTGTATTTTTTGTGTGGATATGTGCGCAAAAAATATTCCAATATTATTATTATCATTATTAGTTATAAGATAATGGTTTATCTTTCATGAATAACATGACAGGACAAGGGTTTATATAAATGGGATTATTTATTTAATAAGAACACCTTTTCATTTGTATGATTTGAAACAAAGGTTCTTGTATACATGCCATTATTGTTGGTAGTGGAATGAGGAAAAAGTTATTTATACACAATAATTATTTATATACCAAACCTGAGTTCTCATAACAGTGGGAATGCATAAAATCTTAGTCCCCTGGAAGGTTCTGAACGTAATAGTAATTTCTGCCCCCCCCCCCCCCACCCCTAAAAAAAATTAGAAAAAAAAATGAAATTCATAAACACTTTTTTGCAACAGGTCTAAAAGAATGCTAACCTTTGCACATCATTGGAAAGAATATAATATAAACAATACTATATGCTTTCTTAGTTAATGTGGTATTAGACTCTGTGTGAACGGAAGGTAAATATGTTGTAACATGGGCAAACTCACAATGCATATTATACCCTTGAAAGCAATTACTATGTCCAATATAAAATGTTTTCTCAATTACATCTTTGGTAAAAAGGCTGATCATCTGATTTTGTAAATTTCACGTTTCTGCAGCCCCCTGAACAAATCCCACTTTGTATTTTCTTTACCTGACAGGAAGGGGCCAATGAGGGCGCCAACCAACCTGCGTTCCACCACACGCTGGGATTACGCACCAGATATCTGTAAGGACTTCAAGGAGACGGGATTCTGTGGGTTCGGTGATAGCTGTAAGTTCATGCACGATCGGTCGGACTACAAGTTTGGATGGCAGCTGGAGAAGGAGTGGGATGATGGCAAATATCAAAAGCAACAAGGTGAGATAGCAACACAGGAAATATTCAACAAAAATAGTTTCTTTATTTATTTATTTTTCTCCCCCTCACTACAGCACTTATCACTCTTGCTTGTTGCAATATGTCTTTCTCAATCTTATTGTCCATCCTTTTTCCCCAATCATCCTTTTTTGAAATAAAGATTTCCCTTTAATCTGTTCAGTTATAACCATTGCTTTATTTTTCTACAATTCACCCCTAAATATCAAAAGCAACAAGGTGATGTGGAATTCTATTCTCTTGACATTCTGGACTCTAGTGTTCTATCACATGTGCTTTAATCTGGCCACTTTTACAAACCAATAGTTTCTCTTCTTGTACAGTCAAATCTGGTTTAGCGACCACCTGTCTACAAAGACCACATTTTTTAGACGGGTTTCACGATATGTAAATATCATTGTATGAAATTTATTACTGTATTTCTGTTGGTAAATTAATACAATAAATCCATCAAATCAATTACCATTTCTAAATCCCTCTTGATAGCTGCGATTCATCACCATTTTGGGGTGTAAATATTCTTATAATGTACATGCTCTGATGACACAGTTGCCCCACGTTTTAATATCCTACCCTTACAGAATGGGTAACCCAAACCGGACACTAGACCTATACTAAACTCGATTGCAACCTTAATCCTAACCCAGTATCTAACTATTCATCAAAATATAGCCCAGAGATATTCTCGCTTGAGCAGAAGGGCATTATCAATAGTTGTCATTTGCTATATGTCTACTTGTGTTTCATTGATATCTCTCACCATAAATACAATTAGCATTTACATCTGCACCCTTTATCAATTAAGGCATTCCATAGCAAAAGCACATTGAGAGGAGTTTGTACTATATTATATAATAATATTAGTAATATGTCTTGTTTACCCAGGGTAGCCTCATCAATATTCATACTGTTCTCCCTGAGGGCCCTGCAATTATATTATTTCCCCGGCCGTCTGATTCAGGCTTACCCGCAGACAATGTATGCACATTCTCCACTCCCTAGGGAGCATTCCAGCCAGGCGTCATTTCTACAAGCACACACTTGCTAATCTAAGCACATTAGCTTTCGCATCCTACCGCCTACCGGGTACCCATTTCACACCTGGGTGGAGAGTGGCAAATGTAGATCAATGTCTTGCCAAAGGACATTAGTGCCACAGTGGGATTTGAACCGCGGACCTTGTGATCCACAGTCCGGTGACATATCCACTCGTCCACGACACCTCAATGTTTAATAGCGATGGTCACAGAAAAAACCCTGATATCACAAGATTAATGCTGATACTCAATATCTATGCCTTATCTTGGACTAATCTTGAACCTGTATGTAATTTGATATTTTCCTGTCTCTCTGACTTTTTCATCCTGTCTCCCTTTCATCACAGATCCCAGCATGTACGAGATTGACAGTGATGACGATGATGATCTTCCTTTCAAATGCATCTTCTGTAGACAGTCCTTCACCAACCCAGTCGTCACAAAGTAAGTTCTTGAAAGTCATCAGATGTACCTTAATGCCTGGGTGCATTTATTGCTTTTTTATTTCTTTACAATATATTTGGAATGTATATTTGTAATTTACAATATACGTTGTCATTTAAATAGCACCCATTCAATCTACAAAGCACTTATTCAACAGTTAACTTGTGAGCAGCTAGTCTGCTGTCATGTACGTTCTATTGATGATGATGAATGCGTACAACTAACTGTGTAATAGATTGTCCAGAAAAGGTCAGGGGTCATATTATTTACTGTGAAACCAGAAACTTGAAAAATGTTCTTTATTTTATATATATATATGGTTAATTTATTTTGTGGCAATAAAACTAAGACTCATCAGGAGCGTGTGCAAAGTAATGAGAGTTGCTTGCACACAAAAGTATTTGCTGTTACATAATTGTACATGATTTTGCTGTGGTATGATTGGTTTAGTGTTTTAATTCTATGCTTAACTTAATTAGCTCTTTATCTCAATTTCAATGTTTTTCTAAAGTTATAACCATTTCTTTATACATGTATTCACTTTTCCTGTTTTGTCCTCTCTAATAGGTGCAAGCACTACTTTTGTGAAAAATGCGCTCTAAAACACTACAAGAAGAGCAAACGTTGCTTTGTTTGTGGAACACAGACAAATGGTCTATTCAATGTAGCTAGAGGTAAGACAATCATCACAAATTCTCCTTTAAAGGTCCTCGATTTAGTATAAATCTATCTTTTCTTTTGATTTAAAAAAAACAAAACATTTATGCTTTTAAATAAAAGTTTGTTTTGTGACTTATAGGATGGGCAATATATGTTTTCAGCTGTAAGGATTTGGTCCATTTATCTGTTGGTCTCAATTAATGGGGTTTCATCCAGAGCCTTCTTGGGTCTAGTCTTCAAAGGGTTAACAAGACTTAGGAAACAATATATATATATATATATATATATATATATATATATATATATATATATATATATATATAGGCTTATGGATCTTCTCTCAAGATGTTTCATGTAGACATTATGCAATGAGTGGAGGTAGTTGAAGGATCATAAAGACATTAGGCAATGCTGCCATCTGTAGTCATACATTGTACAGACTTTACAACTTTTCATAAGGATTCATGTTTAATCAGTAATTTCACATATCCCCATTTTCTCTCTCTCTCTCTCCCTGTCACTCTTTTAATTTTTTGTTTCTCTCTATCTATCCTTGTCACTTTTCTTCTGTATTTTATCTCATATTTACTCCCCTTGTCTTATTAGAAATTCTCTGTTCCTTTATTTCTATCTATATAATAATAATAATAATCTGGATTAATGTAGCGCTTAATATGAAATATCGTCTTTAAGCATTTACAGATATTATTATCCCAGTCATTGGATTCATTCACGTACAATGTCCATCATCTCCACTCTCTGGGGAGTATTCCTACTATATGGTCACTGTGAGGGCATATAGCAATTACTAACACAAAGTATTTCATCATCCTGCCAGGTCCCCATTTCTCTCCTGGGTATGGAGCGGCAATTTTAGATAAATGCCTTGCTAAAAGGACAATATATTTCCATCTCTGTCTGTGCATCTCTCTTTACATTTCTCTCTCTCCCTGTCAGGTCATCTAAACATCATCTTTTTATTTCCACTCACTGCAGACCTGATCGCCAAAATGGCAAAATACCATGGAAACAAAGAAGGAAGCGATAGTGAACCCTCCGAAGCTGACAACCATTCAGACAATGAGGAAACAAGATGACGATGATGATGATCGATGATGATGATGATGCTGATGACGTAGAAACCAGAGTGCATGGTGGAAGTGAAGATAATCTCATCAAGAACTGGTTCTTCCTTGTATCAAGGATTAATGAGGATACTTTTTTTTACCCTCTCTGCAAAAGGAACTGTTTCTATGAAAATGAATGACATTTCATTTATTTCATTTATTTATTTCATTCTCTTTTAAAAAACATCAAAAGTATAAACATGTTTGTTCATTATCAACATAAGATAAAAGGAAGTGGGGAATCATGAAATCCAAAATTGGCTTGATGAGAATGATCCCCAAATAAATACTTAGCATAAAACAAGATTCAAACTTATTTTATATAAAAAAACAGTACATATATTCACAACAACAGAGGACAGAGGAAAGATAAAGATAACATAAGGTAAAGACAGTTACAGGAAGATAAGAAGAGAGAGAAGATAAGAAGAAGGAAGTTACAACTTGTTGAGATTGAGGGACAATGATATCATATCATCAGGACTGGACTCATCTGCTAGTACCGATGAAATATGGCATAGCATTTTAAGAATGATAGTTGTGACATGTGCACGCATGCATGCTCCAAAGGGAGTTCTTTGGTCTCCAATATTCCCTCTCTCTGGAAGAGAACTATGTGGGTGTTTTATGAATTTGATTTATTGAGGGAATGCAACTTCCAATGACGTCATTATCATTGTACCGGAGTGTTGGCTCAGTCAGTAGAGCGTCCGCCACACAACCGGGAGGTCGTGGGTTCGAACCCCGGCCGCGTCATACCAAAAGACGTTAAAAGATGGGAGTTGTTGCTACCTTGTTTGGCGTTCAACGATAAGGGATAGAGCAACGTCGATCTGGCGCTGCTCAGTGGCTGCCGGGCTCACGATCAATTGGGCAAAAAGAATTTCCGTTTCGGTTTAATAAAATTTGGAGTGGACTATTATTAGGCTATTATTATTATTATTATTATTATTTATTATTATCTCTAGTCCACTGGCTTTGGAATACAGATGTGTTTGTCATTTCTATAACCAGAGACTGCCACAGCATTGATATTAATCTCTCGTTATGTTGAAAATATCTAAGTTTGCCAAGTACGATGGACCTTTTATTTGTTATTTTTGTAGAATTTTTATGACTCAAGAAATACATCATTCTGTTCTTTTCCTAAAGTGTTAGTTAAAAACTATGTATTTACAATATATGTTACAGGATGACTGAGGATGGCAAAAAAACACAATGTAATATATATTATAACAATACATCTATACGCTTGATTGGATAGAATTAAAATGATTCTTCACTGCATTATTATAAAGGCCTAATGCAAGAATACTCAAATCTGTGAGGTTATTGTGTCATGTCATTGTTTATTGCAGGATTTGTTTTTTCAGGGTGTTCTTAAATTTATGAACATCATATGAATTTGGCCCAAAAAATGAAGCAGAAATCGTTTCTAGAAATACAGTTTGGCTGAGAGTGATTTAGCTGGGGAAATGTATGAAAGAGCTCTTGTGGTAAACAAAGAAGGATTTGAAATTTAAGAATTATAGTGAGGAAATCTCACTTTTTCTAAGGAAAATCTATCATGAAATTTATGAATAATGATATACTTTGAACAATTCCAAAACATATTCATGTCTATGTACTTTCTAAATCTAACTCTTTCTGGAATATTCAGTTCTGAAATCCTCATACAGAGCATTCTGGTAATAACATCGAAATTGTATTTCCTGACTGGTAAGATATTTAGTTCAAGATAATGTACAAACTCTGGGCTTAGGTGAACATTGTAAACTTGTATTACAACAACGTGAGCAATGTATTCTAGATTTATAAATAAACTATCCAGATTTTATGACTTTGCATGTTGTGCACTTTGTTTGGATCAATTAAATCTTTAAAGAATTAACCCTCTCCCTAAGGGAAGTAAATAATATAATTGAAGTCGGTAGTCTTTGGGTCAATTGATCCCCAGAGGATAAGAGCTTTGACAGCCTTCTCAGAACTTTTGATAACTGTGGCTCATATTCTTAACAAAAACTTTGCTCAACCTAGTTGTCCTTAACTATCAACTGTAGCCTATGTACATGTAGTTGCTTGTCAACTAGCTTGGTAAGGTTTTATGACTATGGGCCCTGGTTGGCCATTAACTGAGATGGTCTTATTTATGGTAACTTTTTGAAGCCCATTCAAGAAGCTGTAGCTGGAGAAGGAGTTTCATGTGATGTAGTTGTTTATTGAAGTAATCATTGATATATTCATTTATTAATTCCTTTATTCATCCAACCATCCATCCATTAATCTATTCATCCATTCATTCATCCATTCATCTATCCATCCATCCATCCATTCATCTATCCATCCATCCATCCATTCATTGATCCATCCATGAAGAAGGAGTATGAGGATAAGGATGATGATGATTATGATGAGGAAAATGATGATGAAGAGGTTGATGATGAGGATAATGATGATGATGACAAAAAGGATGATGATCGTATGGGTTGTAATAATAACGGTGCCTATAAGAATGATGTTTGTGATGACGGTGATGATAATGATGATAACATAATATTAGATGATGATAATGGTTGATGAAGTAATGATGATGATGATGGCAATTAAATGGTTATGATGATAATGATGATATAGATGATTGGTATACTAATTAGGACCTACTGTGATGCATTGATAATAGTGGCCATGATTATGGTGAAAATGATGATGCTGATGGTGGTGGGGATTACATTAATCATGCTAATATGCCATTTTCGTAATGTAATTAAATTGAATGCACGCATCTTTATTGAGTGCCTCGTTACAAATTATGTCATTCACCTGTTACGAATAACTGTATTTCAATTGTCAAAATGCAAATTGCATACATTAGTTGTTGCTAGGTAAGACAAACATCATGGCTTGTCCTACCCAACAACACAGTATATATTCAGTTCGCATTCTAACTATTGAAATACAATTATTCGTAACCGTGAATGAAATCATTTGTAATGAGGCACTCGACAAAGATTTGTGCATTAAATTTGATCACATTACGAAAATGGCATATTGTGTTGTTCACGTAGTAGATGAGTTTGGCAATAGGGACTTTTAGATTTGCGTGGACTGATTCGTGTGACGTCCATTCAAGGCAGTGCATTAAAAGGACGTCGACCGTAGCAATCCACGTTGTCGTTGTGCAAATCTAAAAGTCCCTAATGTGATGGAAAAGATAACTCGATAAAGTTCATGCCTACTCTCTATTAACATTGATATCATTCATGAACGGAATGTAGACAAAAACAATGCTAGGGGCAATGGAGAATAACATTCAATGTAATTCTATAAATCATGTACTCTAGTACCACCTGTTACTGCACGTGATAGCATGATGACAAGAAGGCTTTAAAAATATAAAAAATCTCCCCCTCCCAATCATACATCATGGTAAATAGATCGAGTTTTGGGCGTATATCGGCATAAATGTTCACGAGTGACACTGTATATTTTATACATACATGCAGTGTTTTTGAAATCGGAGTAAAAGAAAAAGAAGAAGAAAACAATAACCAACAATTGGCCGCCTTGTTCTTCCATCTACATTCATGCCGATATATTTTTAAATGCGATCTATTTCCTAGGATGAATATTGAAAAAATAAAACAAATAAATACAAAATTCATTCCTGTCATCATTCTTATCGCATACACTAACAGGAAGAAATCAAGCGGCAGACCTTGGGTGTATGATTTGAAAATGAAATAGATCTTCATTTGCTGTTTGTCTTGATCCATATCGACGATTATAATAATCATGATGACCTCTCCAAGAATAATGCAAGAATAGGGGGAAAATTCCATGTAGGATTGGCCCTTGTCGCTGTTTCTTAGGGAGCGTTATCTCGAGGTTGTCATGGTACAAGAGAATACGAGTTGACCTAGAAACAGACACGTGTCCACTTCTCTAAATCATTTATAGTGTCAGACTTGCATGCTTGATGAAGGAGAAAAGCTGAGAGAGAGAGAGAGAGAGAGAGAGAGAGAGAGAGAGAGAGAGAGAGAGAGAGAGAGAGAGAGAGAGAGAGACTCAGAAAATGGAGTGAAAATAGATTGAGGTTACCAGTTAGAGCTACGCTTTTTGGTCGTTTACATCATGATTTAAAACAACAGTAGGAGTTGATGTTTGATGGAGATGATGATGATGATGTGATGGTAATGATGGTTTTTAAGATATTACAAGTAGCAGTGGTGGTGGTAATGGTGATATCAGTGGTGATACGTGATATTACCCCATATTACTCAATTTAGGGATAATAATATTGGTAACGATCAAGGTTTAAATGTGCATTTCATTTTTATCTGTGGAATGAATCAAAGGGATTAAAAAGCAAGTAAAGATAGAGGGTAGGAACAGGAAAACGAGAGAGACGCCCGATGGAGAGCGAGAGTGAAAAGAAATGAGAGAGCATGCGATGATTGAATGTTAGGAAATTGAAATGTATATATCAATATAATTGAGCAAAATATTTCGACTTCTCAGAGTACATGGCAGAAGGGTTGATGTGAAAATAACAGGAGAAAAAAGAATGTTGTTGTTCAATATAAAACAGCTTTTTGAAGCTCACGGTTCAATGCCTATTGTCAATTGGCATAGGCCACGTGAATATTTACAAAAAAGAACAATACATTAGGGACCGACACAATATTAGGGAAGTAACAATTACATTGTGACCTGCACCGGTGAAATAATTTGCGTGAACGCCTCCTTGTGGACAAGATGGCAGCCCCCATAAAACCACTTCCATAACGCATTATAAATACTAGACAAGCCTAAACTAAGATTACGTTACGACTGATCAGTGTAACGGTGGCGCCTGAAATGAGTTGCTCTGCAGATAACGGTAGGATACCATATCTTACACGTTTACTGTTCAATGCATATGCAGAATTCGAGATATTGGATATTACTGTTTGATTGATTGTGTTTTGACAGCGGGACAAACAGGCCCGACTGAAGCAAAACATCATGATGTGTACCTGTTTGACATGTTGCTGCGGCACACAAAAGATTGAACAGACTATGTTATTTAATTAATTATGTTGTATAGGTGTAGAGCTGACTCGCTTCCAGGGCCCCAATGCAACATCGGAAATAAAGGAACACTAACGAGCATGTTATGGTAAACCCTCACAAAATTGGCCTCAACAATACGTGCATGAACAGCAGTCATTTTCAATACTCTCGTGGGGATGATTGCGTTTATTAGTTTGTCTTCATTCGTTGTAACTACAGTGTATAACATCGATTACAATAGGGCTTCCAAAAAAGATCTGGCGTTTAATTGATTTTACCTCAAAATGCCATTCTTGGTGAATGTCCTTTCCTTCCGTGACGAGGCAACTGCACATTCAATGTACTTAGCAAACATTAAATCATATATTCCTAATGACATTTATTTCATTAACAACTCGTGTGTTTCATCTTTAATGGATTCTGTTTAAAGCCCCCTCTCTCTAAATCCCCAAGTTAAGAAACGATATAATGGGAAATGGGGGGAGGGGTGTCTTGCGTTTGTATTAAAGAG